GAGGGTACAGGGAGAAAAACAGAAGGATAAATAGAAGAGAATAAGATGGAGGGAAATACACAGGTAAAGTTATAATTGTGAATGTGAATGGGATGAACACAGCCATAAAATGGATGAGGATGGCAGAATGGATTAGAAACTGGAATCTAACAATATCTTGTCTATAAGAGACATACTTCAAACAGAAAGAAACTCAGAGTTAAAATAGGAGGTTGGAGTAAAATCTATTGTGTTTCAGCTGAAATAAAAAACAAACAAACAAACAAGCAGGGGTATCATTATGATCTCAGACAAAGCAAAAATAGCCCTAATTAAATGAGATGATCAGGGAAACCACATTTTGCTAAAATGTACCATGGACAATGAATTAATATCAAAATTAAACATACATACATTTGATATCAGAGCATCTAGAATCATGAGGCAAATGATAAATGAGTTACAGGAAGAAATGTATTATAACGACACTAGTGTTTTTACTAAGTTGTTTTTAGCAAATTTAAAAATCTTCAATTTACACCTCTCAGGCCTGGATAAATTTAACCATAAATTAAAATAAAGAAATAAGGAAAATTGGAGAGGTGCTGAGAAGCAATGGCCCTTTTGCTGACATAGGCTTATCCAAATTGTCTTTTGTCTCAGTAAAAAAAATTATCAATAAAAGCTGGTTCCATCTTGAATCCCTTGCTGATCTGCAATCATAAGAGCCTCAGTGTGTTGCTACCATGACATATTATAATAAACCTCTTTTAATTCTCTGAGTACTGAGTTTTTCCCACTTAACCCTAAAGAATTGTCCTTTTAACAATAAGGAGAATTTACAGGGTCATTTGGACTTTCCTCAAAGAGTAAGTTGTTGTTATTTATTTTTAAATAATTTAAATTTTAATTTATGGAATAAACTAAGCATTCCCATAGCATAGTACAGCAAAAAACAAGAGATAATTGTACATGAAACTGCAAAGCTACTGCAAATACCTGCAAATAATACAACTTGCTATTCCTTTCAAATATACAACAAAATTATCATGAACACTTTTTTTCTTCCCTCAGTACCCAGCCCTGGAGATGGCTACTACTAGATAGACAGACAGACATACACACACACACACACACACACACACACACACACACACGTATATATAGTATATGTACACACACACACACACACACACACACATATAGAGTACATAAACTTGCAGCTTCTCAACAAGCCAAGTTCATTGTCTAGGAACTGCATAATCCTAACAAGTTCTTTTCTCAGGGCAGATGACCTTGCCCACAGAGATGATTTCCAGGGACCTTGGCAAGTTTACAAAATAAGGAGAATTGGCAGGGACCTCAGAGAGGGCTGATACTGGTGTCCTTGAATGGACAGAACCAGCCCGATAAGGCTTTACACAATCCCTTTCTTTTCCACATACAGTAATTAATTAACCCTTTTAGGTTTTAGCATGAAAACAGTAACCCCAAATAACTTAGTTAATAATCTCACAAATTTCATAAATGACAACAAAACAATTTGAACTGAAAATTCCCTTTAAATGAAGACAAAATTTGGCTTAAACTATAATACTTAAAAGGAAATGTTACAGAACAGGATCATATAGAATGCCCCAACAGCCAGATTCATTCCTTTTTCTCTTTTCTCTGAAGGCATAATTAATTTAACATTCCAGATTATAAAAGAAATTGCCCTTCCAGCAACATAACTAATACAATTGCTTACTAGATTACCTCACAAAAGAAAATTCAGAAATATGTAAGCAGTATATTAAAAACTTAAAACAGATCCAATAAAAAAAATCTGTCTTTCTAGACCCCTTCATCAGGTCCAACAGTCTCCTGGGGCCACTCCCACACCTATAGACTGGCTTCTTTTTTATTTATGCTAGCCCATCATTGTCTTTTACTGGTCTGACAGCCCCAGGCTACATCCAGATTCTACCATAGAAACAGAAAAATAAAGAAACAATATACATATCTATATTTAGCCCCTTAGTTTGCTGAAGTAATACCAAAGAAGCAATTAAAAATGTGCAGTCAACCTAGACTCTGTGCTGTTGTGGCAAGGTTACCACCATGACCTGAATATAGTAACAGCTGTAACAACAAAATACAGGGGGTTTTCAAGGGTTTCAGGCTTGGCAAACTTTAACTGCTGAGATAACAATGGCATAGAAGTGGGGGGTACTTGGGGGCTGGATTCCTGTAAATCAAGTGATTTCTAGTAAATCAAAACTTAGGCCTGTCTGGCTGCTACGCCTGCCTTGAGTCTCCATACAATTTCTATTTATTCTTCTAAGAAGTCTTCACAGGACCCCTCATCCCACTCAACAAGAACCATCGACCCCCCTGAGGAGGCTTCACTTTTAAGAGTTCATGTCCCACAGGCATGACTCATATTCTCATAGATTTGACAAAGCTCTTTTCATATTTTATATACGAGACCTTTATCTCATAAACCGTCTATAAAATTTTCCCAAAATTTTCTGTTTTCTTCTGATCCTGGATATGTTTGTTTTATTTGCACAAACCCCTTCTACTTTAATGTAATTGAAATTATCCATTTTACACCTAATTTTCCTTTATATCTCTTGTTTATTCATAAATTGTTCACCTGTTTATAAGTCTGCTAAGTAATGTGTTCCATGTTCTATTTTTTTTTGTTTTGTAAAATGTCTCTTTATATCTAGGTTATATATCCATTTTGACTTGTCTTGGTAAATGGTGTGAGATATCAAATACACGTAACAATCTTATATTTGATAAGTGTAAAGACAAGATTTTGGGATAAGAATCCATTATTTGGCAAAAAATTATTATTACTTTTAAACCAAAATATGCCCAACTAAATATGTCACAGTTTTAAAATTTTGTAATTAGATTTTTACAGCTTAATTCATAATTACACCACCCAGATCAAAAGACGAGTTTATTTTCTAAGGATACAATTACATAACCCTCTAGAATTCATTTTTTTCAAATAGACAGTGCTTCTTATAACGTGTTTTTCCCCAAATCCCCAAAAGAGAATTAGAAGCATAATAATAGTATAAATAATGACCCAATTTTAAAACATGAAGACTTGCCAATAGACATCAATTTGGTTGATTATCTTAGAAAAATCTCTTCATCATTTTATCCATGTGACTCTCTAGGTTGACTCCATTCAGACAGTAGAATGGGGCACTTCTGCAAGAAACAATATGACGCTTTACGTTTCCACAAGAATGACACCTTTGCTAAATACTAAGGGGCCCGTAAGAAAATAGCTTAGGCCAAAAGGACGAGCTTGTGAAACCAGGATGTTGGTCATTACCTGGGAACAAGAATTATCATGAACACGGAATGAGCCCCTCAAACCAGAACTGTGGTCATGACGGGGTACTTGGGTGCTTTGCTTGGACCCCAATTTCTCCCTAGCCTTAGAAACACTATCCCTGACAGTTTCTCCCCAGCCCGAGGACCCTGTGCCTAGCAATTACTCGTGAGTGGGCCCCTGCAAGACCCTTATCTCTCTCCCTGGTGCAGTTCCAAACAGCACCTGACGGATTTATTAGTTTAAACTGGCTTTGCACTGGGTCATACAGACATTCTTACCCACCACTATACTATCCCACTGCCCTACCTTATTATGTACATCCTGGGCTCCTCATTAACTGTATTCTAGACTTGACATATGTATACTCCCTACATCTATCTTGTCTAATAGGACACTGATTGGTGGCAGACTGGACAACTCTCAGTTACCCTGAACTCTGGTTGACTTAGTGACGAAGCAGGCCTAAAACCACACTTCCATGTGGCCCCCCTTGTGGGCTTTTCCTAGTGAACTCTGGGTAAAACGCCTGCACAGTAGGTGCAAGAAGTGTATGTTCTTTTAAGAACTGACCACTCCTTAACCGGTCCTTAATCCCACCCTGAATCCCCTAGTTAGCATATTTGACACATGTTTTATTGTATTTTATCCTATATAAACTTTAACTGTACCTCTCTAAGGTTGCAGGATCCTTTAAGAATCCTTGCCCGCTGAAAAGCGTAACAATAAACTTTTTGCCACCTTGGCTTAAAGAATGCTTGAGTCTGTGAATTCATTTCAGATGACCCATGTACTTCAGTCTTTGAGGGGTCAGAACCTCTCAACCTCTCAGCCCCCAACAGTCAGACTGTAAGATTATATGGAAATAGGGGAGAGAGCAATCCCAAAACAGCTACTTGGGCCTGGGAAATGAAAAACAGAGCAGTGGGAGATGTAATTAGGGGGAGACTCTCCTGGGGAAATCAGGAGCTTGGGATAGGCTATAATCTCTATAGCAGCCAGCCAATGGGGAAACAGGGGAGGGAAATTCTAATGGGGAACAGGGAATAAAAAGGTGTGCGTCTGTCTGACACCTGTGCCTATTCCTAGGCCACCCTCCCTTGTAAGATCACTAATAAAGCTTTCCTGGCTTCAACATCCAGTGGTTTCATTTCTTGGTGAGCAGGGTTCTCACAGTACTGATCCAGTTACATTGAATTCTTACTCCCACACCTCCTAGACACCTCACCTTAAATGCCTAATTTTGAATTATTTTACATTGAGTGTGGATCTGCCCTTAGGGTCAGACATCCCAATTATCCTGCTGGATCTGACTTAAAATGAGCCCCATTCTAATTTGCGTCAGGAGAAACGTGCTAACCCAGCTGACTGCCTTTTGCGACAGCCTCCGTCCTGAAACTAAGCTTGTTTGGCTGTGAATCACTTGCTTGCCTGGAAATCTCCAGATTGCCTCTTCCTTGCTCTCCCCTCGCTATCCAGAAAGTCTCTCATCTTTCCTCCAATAAGAAAGCGGGTGGCAGAGTGATGGGGGGAAGGGGGAGAGGAGCTCTCAGAGACGACCAACCTGGTGGGAGGTGGCCCAGGTGGAATAAGAGCCCTGGGGTGGAGTTTGGAGGCCTGGGAGGGGTCTAGGGCAGGAAGAGGGCTCATCCCAGGGGCCAAGGCATTCCAGGTGGCGGAGGGCAGTGCTTGGGGAGGAGAGGCAGGCAGGGGCTGGAGCTACTGGCCCTGAGTGTGATTGGAGGAAAGGGCCCTTCCTGGGAGCCTCAGAGGCGGGGCAGAGGCTGGGAGGACCCTCCCAGAGTGGGCTGGCTGAAAACAGGAACTTGTGCTCAGAGGGCTCTGCCTTCTCTTACAGCTGTACTATTTCTTCCTTCCCCAGGAGCTGAGACCTGTCTTCTTTCCGAGGAGCTGAGATCTCTCTGCCTTCTTTCCCATGTGCTGAGATCTCTCTGCCTTCTTCGCCGGGAGCTGAGATCTCTCTGCCTTCCTCCCCGGGAGCTAAGATCTCTCCGCCTTCCGGAAGCCAGGTAGGTCTGAGCCAGCTCCCTCATATTCTGCTCCCCACCTCGTGGCTTCTGCTGGCTGATCTCTCTATGGGTCTTATCATCCTCATCTGATCACATGGTGAGCGTCCTCAGGGTCTCCTTAGAGTAAACCTTCCCTGGCTACCAGACAAGCTTCCTGCCCCTAACTCTTTCCAGACCCCCAATCACTTCCCAAATGCCCAGGATCACCCTCCCCAGATTTACCATTGCTTCCAAAATTCAGACTTTACGCCGTAGAGACCAAGCAATTCTGGTTTTCATCTTCCCATTAGGACCCAGGACCCAGGTTTCCTGTCTCTCCGCCCCCAGCCTTTGGTTAGAGATTGCGATGTTCTGCCTTCAGGCCAAGCTCCCTGTAAGGGCCAGGTCTCCCATGAGGGATTCCAAGCCTAAGCTCTACCGGAGGGTCCCAGGAATCCCCCCCAGCTCCTAGTTAGACCTCAGCACACAGCCATTCCGCTTTCCCAGGCTCAGTGTCCACCTGGAGCCCTTCCTCAGTGTTCCTGATCTCCCTGCCATGAGCTGGCTTAGGATATCTCCTTTCCAGACCCTACCTGTGCTCCCCTTTCCCAGGTCTCCTGCTTTCCCTGCCCCCTCTTCTTTCAGAGCCCTCAGGGCCCTGCGGGGAGGGGGGGGGGTGTTGAATCCCAGACTGGATTTCTCTCTGTGCCTTAGGCTTTCCCGGGTCATCCCTGCTGGCTCCATCCCAGAGCTGTCCCCCATCCCCAACCTTCCCTCCCTTCTAGGTCAAGCAGTTAGTCTGTTTTCTAGATAATGTGTGGGTGTTAGCTGGGGAAAGGGGGTACAGGGAGGGCAGAGCACTAGTTGTAGGGAGAGCTGTGATTGAGGAGCCATTGAGGCTCTGCCTGGTCTCATCCCATCTGGGATCCCAAGCCCTAAGTGGGACAAGGGCCACAGTAGAATTAAAAGTTCGGAGGCTGAGTCAGAGATCAGAAAAGGTTTTATTCTTTCTGATGAGAAAGGGCACAGCCCTCCTCGTTAAAGCAGCAGCCAGGGAGCGCAAAGTCTGTTACTGGAGACCAAAGTTTTATGATCCTAACACGGTACCCCCTCCCCATTCCTGAACCCTTCTTCCCATTGGCTGGGTTTCAGGGTACACAATCTAAACGCAGCTTTCTAAGACCCTTAGTACAATAATATCCTTATTTGGAAATATTTACCTAGAGACAAAGGCTTGGGAAGACTTTTGATAACCATTTAGAAGTTCTGTCTAGAGGTGGATAAGCAGGCAGGCCCTGGCTGTTAAGCTGGCAGTCTTTGCAATGTTTGTCTTGCTAGAGGAATTGGAGCACAGGTCAGCTCTTGCTTAATGCACAGCAAATGTCTGCAAATTCATCAAGTTTTACTGCTTTGGGAGTACAAAGAGTTTTAGTACTGAGGAAACTTCATCGATCTCACTCAGCCCCTTCTGTGTTTTTGGTTTTCTGAAGGAGGATGGGGGAGAGGAAGGGGGCAGAAAGAAGGAGTAGGAGAGGGAAGTAGCCTTCCTGTTTAGACCATCTTCATTTCCAAACCAGACCCTACCTGGTTTCTCCCTCCCTGTGTAGGTTGGGGTCTCTGCCCTGAGGGCAGGGCAGGGTCTTTGTAACACCTGTAGGACTTCACCCTCTGTAAATCCCAGTAGACCAGCCTGCTGCCCAGGAAGATAAGGGAAGGACTCTGCCCCTCTGGGATCCTTCCACCTCCCCAGCTCAGTCTGCAGAGGACCAAGGCCTGACCCAGCAGGGAGCCTGGAGCCAGAGGGAATGGTCCCTGGGAGCCACAGACCCCCAGCCCAGGTGAGTGCACTCCAACTGGAGAAAGAGGCATGCAGAAGGAGACATTCAGTTCCTGTCAAAAAGGCATCAGACTCAAAGGCAAAGAATTATGACAGACACAATGAGTGACTTACTTTCTCCTCAAAATCCACTTTTGACCATCTATTCACAACAACCCTATATGGTTGGTGTCCTTTTTATCTTTTTTTCACACTTCAGGAAGCTGAGGCAAAGAGAGGTTCAGTGACTTACCAACAAGGGTCACATAGCTTGTTAGTGTGTGGGACAAGTGAAAGTTTCTCATATGAAATGGAAGCTATGCCCCAAAATTTAGTTAAGGCTTTAGCATTAGCTGGGCCTAAGTTTCATTTTCCTATAAATCATGTGATCGGGTCATACATCTGTTGCCCCAACCCCCTCCCTTGTTTTGTAACCACCACCCCAGCCTTATCTTTGCCAAATAAGGCAATCTTCTAGCTCCCAAATTGTTTTGGGGTAAAATGTATCTCTTAGTTTCTGGGTAGAATGTAAGGTCTCTTATCTCAACCAATGAGAATAAAGAGATTGAGGTAAACAAGTGGGGGCCGGGTTTCTTAGAGTTGTTTGTGTAAGGGTATATAACTGCTTGCTTGCTACTTGTATCTTGCCTCCCTACTCCAGTCCCACCTGGGTAGGTGATGCCCAATTCTTACGTGAGACTTGCTAGAATAAAACTTCTGTTTCTACTGAGAGAAACCTCTGAATTTTTATTTGGGTAGGTGGTGTCAGTCCCACTCATTAGTGTCTGAGGCTGGATCTGACCTCAGATCTTCATGATCTTCTACCATTTCCTAGCTCCATCAGCATGGTATTAGTGTGCCCATCTTCCCACAACCCCTCCAACATTGACTGATGCCATTTTTTGGTCATTTTTGTCAATTTTGCCGAGTATGACATAAAGCCTCAGTGTTTTGGTTTACGTTTCTCTTATTAGTGGTTTGCAGCATTTTCTCATGTGGTTGGGAATGCTTGGCAGTTCTTTTGAGAATTCTTTGTTCCTATCCTTTGACCATTTATCTGTTGGGGAATGGCTGTTAGTCTTCTGTTTATTAATTGTTTATAAATCTTGGATACCAAATGCTTATCACAGAAATTTCATACCAAGGTTTTTGTTTTTGGTTTTGTTTCCCATTCAAACACTTTCTTATCCTGGCTGCATAATGTTGTCTGTGCCAAAGAAGCTTTTCAGTTCAAATAATCAAATTTTGTATTTTATTTTTGTAATTCCTTCTATCTCTTGTTGGGTGAAGTATACATGTCTTACCTGTACCCGTGAAAGTTACATGATCTATTTCTCTTCTAATTTTTTAGAGTATAATCTTTAATATTAAGTTCATATATGCATATAGAAGGAGCAGCTATGTGGCACAGGGCGTAGAGGCTCAGGCCTGGAGGCAGGAGGACCTAAGTTCAAATCGGGCCTCAGACATTTACTAGCTGCATGACCCTGGGCAAGTCACTTAACCCTGTTTGCCTCAGTTCCTCCTCTGTAAAATGAGCTGGAGAAGGAAACTGCAGAGTACTCCAGTGTGTTTGTCAGGAAAACCCCAAATGGGATTCCAGAAACCAGGACGTGACTGAAACAACTGAAGAAGCACAGTGACATCCCTTTGGATGCATCCTAGAGTATGGCGGAAGGTGTTGATCTGAGCTGCATTTCCTCCCTGACTTCTTTCTAGTTTCTCAGCAGTTTTGTTTTTCTAATCAAATGGCTCATTTTCCCCAAGGTAGCTCATTGTCCACTTTATCCACGAGTGGATGACTGAGGTCTATTGTCTCTGCACCTCCCGGGTTTAATCTCTTCCACTGATTTCTCTCTTTGTTGTTTTACCAAAGTCAGATGGTTTTGACGACTGCTGCTTTATAAAATAATTTGAGTTCTGGAAGTGTTGGTCCATGTTTGTCCTCCTGTTCTTTTCATCATTTCCCTTCATCTTGTAGATCTTTTCCAAGTGAATGTTGTTATGATTTTATTTAATCTTGTAAAATATCCACTTCCTAATTTTATTGTCGTTGTTCAATCATGTCCAATTCATTGTGACCCCATTAGGTGTTTTCTTGGCAGAGATATTGGAATGGTTTGCCATTTCCCTCTCCACCTCATCTTACAGATGAAGAAACTGAGGCAAACAGGATGAAGTGACTTGTCCAGAATCACACAGCAAGTAAGGGTTTGAGGCCAAACTTGAGCTCCAGTTTTCTGACTCCAGCCCCCGCACTCTGTCCCCTGTGCCACCTAGCCGCCCTCATAAGTTTATTAGAATAGCATTAAAAGTGTAAATTGTTTTGGCTGGTACTGCCATTTGCATTATATTTTATCATATTATATATTTTCTTTTATTATATAACCTTAACTAAGCCAGGAACAGTATTTAGGTTGTCCTTCATGTCTTCAAATATTGCTTTGTGCTTGGATCTGTACAACTCTGCTGTGCTTTGGGAGGTGGAGCCCCATAAATTCTCTGGGTATTTTCCTAATTTGGAACGGAATTTCTCTTTCTGTTATTCCTTCTTGTATTTTACTGTTATCATACAGAAATGCTGTTGACTTTTGAGGACTTATTTTGTAACTGCAGCTTTGCTTAAGCTGTCATTTATCTCAGTGTCTTTGCTGATTCCCTGGGATTTTCCACGTAAACAGGGATCATTAGATCTCTTCTTTATCTACCTGTATTCCCCTTCATTCCTTTCTCTTGTCTTACTGCTATTGCTGGCATTTCCAGAATTACATCCAATAATTGTGGAGAGGGGAGGCATGCTTGCTTCACCTCCAGCCTTGTGGAAAAAAGGGTTCTCATGGATCCCCATTTCGTGTGTACTTGCTTTTGGTTTTAGGTAAATGTCTTAGGAGATATTGAAGAAGGTCCCAGTAGGCTGATACTTTCTGTGGAGTTTTTAGCATAAATGAGTGTTGTACTTTGTCAAGAGGCTTTTTTGGCATCTATTCAGATGACCATTTGGTTTTGAATGTTTTGGTTTTGAATCTGATTAATAACATTTTCCTAATGTCCAAGTATCCTTGCATCCCTTGTGTAAATTCCATTTGATGATAATGAATGATTTCTCGAATAAGTCACTGTAGGTATTTTTAAATAATATTTTATTTTTCCTCAATTATATTTAAAACAATTTTAAATATTCATTGCTTTGAGGCCTAAATTCTATCCTTCACTCCCTGCCTAACCCCTGCCTGAGATGGTAAGCAATCTGATGTAGGTTATACATGTGTAATCATGTAAAACATTTTCATATTGGTCATTTTGTGGCATTTTTCATCTTGATTGTTTAGGGATTTTTTGGACCATTGTATTGCCAAGAATAGCTTGGTCACTCACAGATGTTCATTATCTAGTATCACTGTTGCTATATAGGATATGCTGCTCACTTCAATCTGCATCAGTTCACATAAGTGTTTTGTTGCAGCTCTGCTGACGAGCAGCGAAGTCCGCGAAATGGTTCTTGACCGAAGACTGGGAGGCAAAACAAAGAGACCGGACTCCAAGCGTGATGGAAAACGGAGTCAACTTTATTAGAGCACAGCAGGCAGTTTTATATCTTTGACTCATGGGAATATAACCCAGTGTAACAGCGGACAAAGCAACAAAGTTTACACATCTTTACCAACAGGCAACAACCTAGAACATTTCTCATGCGAATGCCAGTCAAAGTAACAACAAGCACATTGTCCTGGCTGTGTCCTTATCTCCTGGGAACATTAATCAGGGAGTCATCCTGTCCCATTTCCTTGTCATCTCCAAGGGCATCCTGTCCTGCAGGAGACAGAACAGGGGGTTTCCTCCCCTCCCAGCAATCTCCAAGGGTTGAGCTTGCATAACCGTACTTCTTCCTGGGGAGTGGAGAACTGATCCAGGCCAAGGAGCAGGCTCCTCACCTGAGAGGGTTTATTCAGCTATGAGGGTCAGAGTCCTACTCACCTGTGGTCCTCTACAGTATTTCAAGTTGTTCTGAAATTCTCCAGCTGGTCTGCTCTAGTTGTATTGATAGTTTCCTGTTTAAAATTTTTGAGTCCCTTTTCATCAGTGATACTGGCTTGTAGGTTACTTGCTATGTTTTGTCTTTCCCTGGGTTAAATATTAGGTCTATCTTTGTTTCATAAAAAGATTCCAGTAGGATACTTTCTTATTTGGGGGAATTATTTATGAAATCTATGTAATAACGCTTTACAAATTGTGGAATTCTCCTGGGAATTTGTGAAAACTTTGGTAGCTCCTTTACATTGAAATCTATTTTCAATTCTGGTTTTCTCAATGTGGTCTTCTGATTCTGAGAAATTCATATTTTTGGAGATGTTCCTCTATTTCTTTTGGGTTCTCAGTTTCATTAGCATAACATTGTGCATCATATGTTCTGATTGTCCATTTTCTTTCTTCTAATTTTGCAGTCATTTCGCCTTGCTTATTGGTTATGTTATGAATTTAATTTTCTACTCTTTTTAATAAGATTGGCTAAGGAATTATCAGTTTTATTAATGTTTCCAAAAAACCAGCTTTAGTTTTATTTTTCATTTCTCTGATTTTCTTTTTTTTTTCTTTCCAAGGTATCAATTCCCTTTTTAAATATTCTCTCTTTTGGATTATTCTAGGTTTATTTGTTTGATTTTCTATTTTGTTAAAGTGCATATTCATTTGATTAATCTATTTTCCTTATTTCTTTCTATTTTCTTGATATATGTCAGAATATGTTTTCCCCTTGGGAACTACTTTACTGAGTCCTCCAAATTTTGGCATATTGCTTCATCACAATAATTTTCTTTTTACAAATAATCATTTCTGCGATTTTGTTATTGAACTTGGTTATTTTTTATTTAATAATATTTTACTTTTTACAATTACATGTAAAGATAGTTTTCAATATTCATTTCTTGAAACATTTTGAGTTCCAAATTTTTCTCCCTCCATCCCTTCACTCTCCTCTCCCCAAAACATCAAGCAATTTAATACAGGTTATACATGTGCAGTCAC